TCTCTAGCCAATAATAAAAAGAGTCCCAAGTTTGATAGAAGTCAGTATCTTCCTTCTCCTTCAGTGATAAAGTCAATCTATCCATTTCTGTACAGTCCAGGATCTTTTTTAGAATCAGTTCGTCGGTGTGTAGTTCACTTTTCCAGTGTTGAGCAAATGCAATCCTCGCTGCAGTGATTACATGTAAAATCAAATACATTTCTTGTTCACTAATGTCCTCCGGTATAATGCCTAATAAAAAAAACTTCAGGTTTAAAAGCTAAGGGTTTTTGTAACATTTCCTCAAGCCATTTATGTATTTTAATCCAATACTTTTTCTTGTTATCGCAAGTCCACCACATATGATAAAAAGTACCCAATTTATGTTTATATTTCCAACATCCATTTGACATATTTGGAAACATCTTAGCTAATCTATTTGGCGACAGATACTATCTATAAAACATTTTATACAAGTTTTCTTTATACGAAGTTGCTAATTTTACCTTAATATTTCTCTCCCATAGCTTTTGCCACTTTCCTAATTCAATATTACATCCAAAATTTTGTGCCCACATTATCATGGTTTCCTTAACCTGTTCATCTTCCATTTTCCTATCGAGTAAAAAGTCATATAATATTTTAATCATTTTCTCATCTGATTTCAGTATCACTTGATCAAACGCTGGTAAATCCTTATAAAAACCCCATGCTTTATCATCTTTAGCATATCTCGATTGTATCTGCACCTCATGCCACCAAGAAATATTAGATCCCTGTTCTTGTGTTTCTTGATTCAATTTCAATCCTCCATCCTTATCCAAAATGTCATCATATCTTATAATCCCTTCAAAATTCAATATAGTGACTTAAAAAAGAGCCATGTGACTTAGTCTTCTCATACCACATAGAAGCGTGCCAGCCCATTTGCAAATCATGCCCTTCAAGATACAAGATTCTCTTATTTCTTAAAGTTATCCATTCTTTTAGCCACGTTAAAACAGAAGCCTGATAGTACAGCCTCCAGTCAGGGAGACCAAAGCCCCTGTTCCCTTTAGCCTCCTGAAGTATTTTTAATTTAATCCTTGGTTTCTTCTTTCTCCATATAAATCTTGAGATTTGAAAATTTAAATCATCAAAAAAAATTCTATCAATTTTTATGGGAATCATTTGGAATAGAAAGAAAAGCTTTGGTAATATATTCGTTTTAACCAGTGCTATTCTTCCCAGCAAGGATAGTTGCAAATTGGCCCATTTTTCCCAGATCTCTCTTAATATCCCTCAGTAATTTATCATAATTGTCTTCTTTCAGAATAGAACACTAAGCTGTAAGATAAATTCCCAGATACTTAACCTTTTTTAGTAAGGGTAAGTGTACTACCCTTCTTCTTGACTGGGTGGTCAGTAATAGAGACACCAATAACTATGTTTTTCTTATTTTTTTTTGCTCCCTTTAAATTTAGCCAGATGCTTTCAATGGGGCTATTAAGTTCCTCTTCTTGTATTTCTGTGCAGAAATATGTGTCTCTCACAGATAGTGCAACTCCACCTCCCTGTCTGTCCTCTCTGTTTTTCTTGAACAGGTTGTATCCATCAATTGTAGAGTTCCAGTCATGTGAGTCATCCCAAATTTCAGTTATTTCTATAAGATCATAATTCCCCTGATGTACTATGAGCTCAAGTTCATGCTGTTTGTTTCCCATACTCTGGGCATTGTTGTAGAAACATCGAAGTTCTTTCTCATTGTGCCTTGGTTTTCTTCCTACATTTTTTGGAAGACTGGTGTTGGGTCCTGCTTTTTCTCTGTTGAAATGTATGTCTTTCTCAGGTGATGGTATGCCATGCAGCACAAATCCCTCTCCTCTATGTTTTAGTTTAAAGCCCTCCTGAGGAACTTTTTCATGTGGTGGCCAAATATCTGCTTCCCGTTCTATGTGAGGTGCAGCCCATCATTTGCCAGTAGTCCATCTTCTGGGAAGCTTAGCTTGTGGTCCCAGAATCCAAATTTCTCTTTATGGCAGCACCATCATAGCCAGTCATTCACTTGAAGGATTTTTCTTTTCTTAACCATTCCTCTTCCACATACTGGTAAGACTGGGGAGAAGACTATCTGCACCCCAGCATTTTTGATTTTCCTTCCCAGAGCTTTGAAGTCTGATGTTATGTCATCAAATCTTCTCCTGGCAGTGTTGTTAGTTCCCACATGGAAGAGGAGGAGGAGGTATTTGTCAGTTGGTTGTATGAGTTGCATGAACTCGCTGGTTATATCTTTAATCTTGGCACCAGGGAGACAGTGATTCTCTGGGTCATCATGACATTCATATGTTTCCTTCTTGTGCAACAGGGAATCTCTGTCGTGATGGCACTCAACATGTAAACAACCCACACGTTCACGAGCAATAAAACTAGAGTCCTTTATTGCTACTTGTCTACAAGATTTACAGCTCTATAGATAAGTTCTTTAGCTGAGGTCTTTGAAATGCAGATGTTAATCCTCTAGTGGTGTCTCTCCCCGAGCCCACGTGGGACTAGCTCTCTCGGTCACGCCTTTCTTCTCTCTGATGTAACACGCTCTGCTTTTGCTCGTATCTTCTTAGAATTCTGTGATGGGTCACTAGAGAAAAGTCAACCATGCCCCCTGCGTGTCCTGTGTCGTGTTCAGGAAGTTCAGCGTCAGTGGGAGGAGGGGCAGCCTGCTCCGACTCTTCCTGAGTAGAACTCTTGGCGTCTTTTCCCTTGGGGCTCTCTTGCTTTGATGTGGTCCCGGGTGTTTGCTCAATGGGCAGGGAGTCAGGGGCAGGTGCAGCTATCTGCTCAGCCATCCCCAAGCTAGGTTGTGGGGTTGGCTTTTGGATACAGGGTCCCAAGTGTAAGACCTCCTCGTGAGGTGCTGTCTCTGTTGGGGCTTCAGGCATGACACTACCCCACCCCATAACCTCCCCCTCCCCAGTGAGGACAGAGACAGTCGCCCCCTGGCTTATGTAGGGAACTGGAGTGGAAACGTCTCAGGAGGGTGGGAGCAGGGATGTTAGCGACGGGCTCCCAACTTCGGTCTTCGGGGGGGGGGGTGTAGCCTTTCCAGTGTATTAGATATTGCAGGCGTCCCCTCTGGAATCTAGAGTCGAGGATCTCTTCGATTTCAAATTCTTCTTCTCCATCGACTATGACGGGTGGGGGAGGAGGAAGTTGAGAGCGGAGGGGGTGTTGCTGTGGAGCCAGAGAGAGAAGTGCTCGGTGGAAGACTGGGTGGACCCTCATGGCGGGGGGGAGGGCTAAATGGAAGGCAACGGAGTTGATCTGAGCAGTTATGCGGAATGGTCCGGCATGTTTATGGGCTAATTTGCGGGAGGGTACTGAGAGGGGAAGATATTCGGTGGATAACCAGACCCAGTCACCAACGTCTAGAGGAGGTCCAGGTTGTCTACACCAGTCAGCGACTTCTTTGTAGGTCGACTTGACTCTGTCCAATTGTTGCTTGAGCATAGACTGTACTGAGGTGCTGTCTCATGAGGTGCTGTCTCTGTCGGGGCTTCAGGCACGACAGTCTCCCACAGCTATCACTCTTCTCCTTTCGTTGTTACAAATTTGATATCTTTTTCCTTTCTTGATTGGCCTTTTGTCTCTTTTTCAGAGTTACAGAGCATGCTGTGCGTCCTTTCACAGTGGGTCTCTCACACTTACTTCCTCAAGCAACTTGAAGCGGTTCAAGAGTTCCCCTGCTTCCACTGGTGCAGAGCATCTTCTAGGTTTTCTCCATCTAACTGCCACCCTGCTCCAGGGAGTTTCCTCATTTCCCCATCCCTCAGCTTGCTGATGCTCTTCTTGCTTCTGGACTACACTTACCTGTTGCAGCCTCTCTGCTTTGTCTAGGAACTCTTCATTTTCTTTTATTATCCTGAGGGTGGACATTCATAGCTCTAGTGCCCTCACCTTTTCTTCAGGCAGGGCTACTTGCTTGCAGCTGTTGCACGTGTAGGGCGTGTTGCTCTCAGGTAAGAAAGCAAACCATGTGCAGCCGTCGCAGGCCACCACCGCTGTGGAGTCTCCTTGGTCCATTGTTCATGCAGCCTTAGTGATTCTGGCTTGCAGGGCTGATGTGACGACTGGTGCTTTCTCCTGCCTTTACTAAAGGTTAGCTACACAGTTTTAGGAGTACATGGGAGTGTGGTACAATGAAGAAAAACAAGTGCGGGGGAGAAGAGGGAGAGGGAATTAAGGTGAAATAAAGAAGAGGAAAGAAGAGGAAAAAATGTTAGGGACCTCTCCCTTGACCTCCCTCACCGAACTACTCCACCAAACTCCTGTTTGCCCTCCCTGTTCTCTTGCTCTTGTTGTTCGCTCCCTGGGAGCTTGGCTGCTTGTATTCCAGAGGCCCTAGATCAGCAGGGGCAGCTTGCTCTGCTCTGAGTCAGGAACCAGAACCATGCTAAGGTGCACACCAAACATGAAGTATAGTTGGAGTGTAGCCATTCAAACTAATTGCACTAAGTTATTCTTGATCCAGTCCTCTGTCTATTGCCTTTCAGGCATTCATCATTTTTCCTTCTTTTATTGAACATATGGAAACAGTAGCACACATTTTTCAGAAGAGGTGTATAGATTCACCCATGATAATGTTTCCAATATTATAATCTTGACAATAAAATTCAGGAAGCATAGTTTATCATTTCTTCTAAAGTCTTAGAAACAGATTCTCTGCTTATTGAATATAAAAATCAGAAGGAATTTGGTGCTAAAATATAAGACTTAAAAGTTACCACTTTAACATTTAAAAGGTTTTTAAAAATTAAATTAATGCTGTCCACTACACTTCATTTTGGCTTTGACTGAGTTGTTTCATTAATGGTAGCAGCATACATACTTGTCACAAAAGTGGAAAAGCCTATTGCTTTTCCTGTTTCTTGCTCTCCAGTAAATTATGAAAAGCAGCCGTCATGCTGCCTGTATTCTGGCAAGGCATCTCCAGGCAACGTGTGAAACAGAAAACCTTGTTTCAGAGAATGTGAAGGTGATTGGTGAGGAGGGACGTTATTTTGAAATGCTCATTTTAAACTGTGGGATGGAAGCTAACACTGGAACTGTGACATCATCCTGCACACAGGGGCCAGGAGAAACAGCCATTTGCTGTTTGAGAAAGTCTGCTTTTCATTTACAGTTTGGGTCAGTCAGTGAGGAGGCCTTGCCTGTAACACCAGAGACAATCCAGTTCTGAGCTGCATCTTACACCAAAGGCAGATCACTTTTCTACGTCTCTGACCCAGTTGGAGGAATTGCGAATGGATTAAAATTTATAGATATATATTAACAATCCCAACTTCCTCCCCTTCTCCGTAGAGAAAATAACAGGGCAGGCGGGGTGGGGAGTGGGGAAGTTTAATGAAATGAAGAAATGAGTTCAATGTGCAAGCAACCGCCTAAGTAAGGTCCTGGGATTCCTAATCGTAGACTTACTCAGGGGTAAGTGTTTTTTCTTTCTTTACTTGACTGTAGAAGAATTCTTTAACCTGATCATCCCTTCTGAGGGGGTGTGTTTGTTGGGGGGGTGAGCTCGGGGAGTGGGGGCCACAGGGAAGAGCTGCCGCTGCCTGCCTGCCTGCTGCAGCCGCCTTGCATGCCAGAGTGGGACTGTCCCAGCCGTCGGGGGCAAAGGCAGCCTCGCTTGTCCATGTGGGCACCGCAGGGCAGGCTGGGGGTGGGTTTCTGACCCTTGGCTGGGGTGGGGGGAAGGTGCTCCCTGGAGGACTTGCTTCCTGAAGGGTCTGGCAAAGAGCAGGGTTGTGGGAGGGAGTAAAACTCCAGCTGGTACCTGAAGTAGAATATTACTTCTCGCTTCTGGACTGCCATTCTCTAGGAGATGCTTTTCCTCCTTCTCCTGCGAATTCAGTTGGCACACGGGCTGCAGGAACTGAATCGGTGGTTTTACTTGCTGTGTGAGGGAGAGTGGTGGGGGAGACGGCAATGGAGCCTGTTGTAGAGGAATGGGAATTCATGGAACCGACCTAGTGATATTTTATGTACACTGTCATGGCTGTTTGATGAGGATTATGTTTTATGTTTAGTTGTGCTAAGTGTCAAGTCTGAGAAAGCCCCTGAGGAGACAGGGTTAAACTCGGGAAAAGTTCTCTCAAGAACATTCACTACCAAAACTGTTGACTAACTGAGAATACGGTTGGAGTCCTTCTAAAATGACTTTAAGGCTTTTCCTTTGGGAAATGGTTATAATCACTGGCCTCTGCATCTAACTAAAAGGAGTCTTTGCTGTCCAGAATTTCTTTAGAGGGCAGAGCCTGGACAGTTTTCAGCAGCATCTGTGTGAAAGGGTCTCTGGGGAAAACTCAGTGCTGGAAAAACGAAGTCCAAGTGCACAGACAGGATGTACAGAGCAAGCACTAAACGGCAACCTGTGATGGGCCGTGCTTGAAATAGCTCACCTGAGTGGCAGAAGACCAACGTGTTCTGTTTCTGTGAACTGGCCTACAGCACACTGGTGTCCTCTAAAGGGCTGGACAGCAATGTGGACCCATAAGCAGAATGTCCCGTGGTCTCTGTTTCCTTGCTCTGTTTCCTTACTCATAAATGAGTCTATCTTGAGCCCGACCTTTTATTTTAATCAATAGTTTAGGTACTCAAGAATGAACAAACAGTCTCATAACGGGAATGGGACACACCCATTAGCTCCTCATCACACATCCTCTATGTAACAGTGCAGGCTAAACAACATTCCACCTCTTTGCTTGAGCTCCAAGGACCGTGCAGCTCGGCAAGGATCTTAAATGAAAAACTGCCATTTAGTCCGAGGGTCCAGGACTTTCTATGGGACCAGGGCATTCGCATAGGCAGGATGACAATCTGTCATCTAGAGTTTCTTCTAGGGTTTCATTCAAGCTGGAAACTGCAGCTAAGCTAATCCATATATCTGGGGCTGTTTACAACAGGACTGAAAGGAATGTAAAATACGGAATTCAAAATTATTTGTGCCCATTTACTTTTTATTCCAAAAAAAGCCTTCTATCCCACATGAGAATAAAATTCATTGAACAGTTCCGAGTAGGCATGCATGGGACTGCACTGAAAATCCATGCATGTAGCAGGATTCCTACTACATGTAGATTTTGCACACACTTTCAAAATATAGATGCCTATATTTAATGGTGATGCAGACTCTACCATCTGAAAACTCAACATTAAGAGGTAAATTTAGGCCCTCGGCAAAATGACAAAACTTATGTTCTTTCTGTGGCCAAACTCAAGACATGATCTGAAGAGTTATATTTGGAGCTGGAATCCTTTGATATGCAAATATATGCAACACTTCAAAGCTTGATTTTGGCAGCAGACTCATTAGGGGGGTGGGTGTGTGTCTACCAACCACCAACCTGACAACATGCGAATCTGCAATATGGGCATAATAGTAGCTAACATGGATTCCTGAGCTGTCAGATTTGCTGAGGGAGGGTTTCATGCAGGGTGTTTTGACAAAAGACCCTTGAATAGATACATATAACAACAACAGCAACACTGAGAACACTGTGCAAACTGTAGCACGATCTTAGTTGTACTGCTCAAGAAATAAAAGTTTGCAGGGTAAAGCCTTCAGTAGTGCATGAGAGTGGACTTCCTGGAATGGGGACTGGGGGAGACAGTGTGAAATGTTGGAAGGAATATGGAGTGAGAAAGCCCTGGCTCATCAAAAGTGAACTAAATGTGGGGAAATGTGCAGTGAGCTAAAGAGCCTGGGGGAAATCATGGGCCTAAGGCTTGGAAGGAGGGAGAAATAGCAAGGCAAAGGGCTAGAGGGGAGAGAAAGAGCAAGGCTAGAGCTGAGGGAGGGGGAGAGAAGACTACCCTACCTTTTTCTACCCAAAGCTTTTTCTTAAAACAATGTGTTTGAAGGGGACAGGTGGCTTGCGGGTGAGTGTCTGACACCCCCATGAGCAGCATGTGGGAACGTGAAGGAGCACAGCTAGTGCTCTGGGTGGGGTGGGTTTGCTCCACTTGGGCCTCCAGGGAAAGCCCAGGCAGCACAAAGCTGGCTCCCTGGCCGAGGTGCTGGCTAGCAGTGTGCTCCCTCAGGTGCTGCCTCAGTCCAGGAGCTGGCTTTCCTAATGGCATGGATGACATCACCTGGTCCAGGGGGGAGTCTGGGGGAAATCTGCCCCAGGACGATTCGCCCAGCGTCCAGAGCTTAACATGGATGGTATGCTGGCTCTAATAGGAAGCAAAAGACTTGCTAACAGCTTTCGGTTGCAGAACTGCACCTGTTTCACGGAGGCCTGCAACTGGAGCAAAAGAGTTTAGGGGATCAGGAATGTGCTGCATAAAGATGGAACAGATGTAGCAGGCCTGCATTGCAGGCAGGAAGGTTGCTGAGTGGACAGAGGCATGCTAGCAGGAAGAGCTGGGAGGCACTGCTGCCAGCCGTTGGGAAAGCTGAGCCCAGGCTTCCCCTTTGGCCAATTTGCTATGACTCATCTCTAAGAAGACCAGTGCCAAGAGCGCCTTGTCATTTTCGCTAATAGTGCTCCCATCCTGATCAGTTCCCTGGGTGAGAAAGATCTTCCTAGCCAAAAAATGTTTCCTGACTGTGCCCCAAGCCGTGACCAAACCAAATGGCACAAGTCCAGTACATTCCAGAGGTTTCAGTGGGATTTTGAGTGGGAAAGAAACTCTTCCAGTCCCTTTGTGGCTTTTCCTCAAATGCTGATTCATAGGCACCTTATAATTTTTAGCCCTCATGATGGCTATAAAGGCCCCTCTAAATTTTTCCCGTAGTCTTCTAGCTCTGGTACCCATCAAATCACTATCATTATAGGTTAGCAAACCTCCTTTTCCCCCTCCTTCCACATCCCACCCCCACCATGGCATCCCCACAAGTTGCTGGGCAGTCAAGAGAGGGAAGCCACCCACAGGGCCTGTAACCGTGAAACCACTGGGAGGAGCAGATCCAGGGAATCCTCCCCACGCCTTCCACTTCCTCTCAGGCTCTTTGCTGGTTAATATCCTTATGGCAAGCTGTTTTTAATATGATGCCACCATCCCTTCTTTGCAAATTTTTAAAAAATCCAGTTGCTTGGACTGATGGGCCGGATTTTGGCGATTGTCTTACGACACTCCTTGTATATTGTTTCCTGACTGGTTTTAAGCAAATGGGTCTTCACTGGTATTTTATTTTTCATTTTGTTTGCCTTCTGGTCAGATTTTAAGTGCAAGATCTGTGAGATTAAAAGTTAGACTCCATGTTCTTATAACTTTCATGACATTTAAATCAGCTGCCACGAGCATTAGCAAGCTCAGGGCTTCAGAAACATTGGCTTTCCTTTTTATATCAGACGTCCTGCTCACCGCTGAGTCCTCCCATCCACTAGTTCTGCTGCATTTGCCCGAGTGTGTGGACAAAGGGAGGAGCTGTGCATATCATGCCGAGCGCTGGAGAAGCTGCTCCAGGGACACGAAGAATCCTGCCATAGTCCAGTGTCAACTAAAGGCCTCCTGTGAGTGTTTGGCAGGTCCCTTTCCAAAAGACCAGGGACACTTGCCCATGGGGAGCTGCTGAGTGGATTTATGGAGACGTGGAGAATTCTTTCTGGCCTCCCCACCAGGCATTGGCAACCACGCCTGTGTCCTTGAACATGCAACGTGTGTTTGTGATTTGCTTTATCATATGCTATTGTATTATTTCTCTGTAGCCTAAGAAGATGAAGAATTGTTGTTGTTGTTAGTCGCGAAGTCATGTCCGACCCATCGCGACCCCATGGACAACATCCCTCCAGGCCTTCCTGTCCTCCACCATCCCCCAGAGTCCACCCAAGCTCACACCCACTGCCCCAGTGACTCCATCCAGCCACCTCGTTCTCTGCTGTCCTCTTCTTCTTTTGAAATACATCTTCCTCTAACTGTTGTGAAAGCCAGTTCTCAACATTACCTTCCACTTGCAAAGCATTTTAAGGCTATTTGCCCTTTCATCCTCCATGCGATCACTGAACATGTGTAGGGCCACGCAAACCATACTGAGGCAGCACCTGTGTGCTCAGTGTTAGTGCGAAAGGGACTGAATGCACATAAAAAGAAGCAAAGACAGGACATAAACGTAATGAAAGAGGCAGGGGCTAGTTAGATTCTCAGCAACTTGTAGGGCAAAGAAAACACCCTAACAAAGAAACCCCCCCCACCTATTCCAGTTGTAGGATCACCTGAGGTAGGATTAGCCCCTGCTCCAGTGGTGCCCTTGAATGCATGCCTTGACGTTTCTTTTTTTGGGGGGGGGGGCATGGCTGCCATCCTATGGGAAAAGTAATAATACGGGTGGGTGTTCCCATGATAATAATGGGAACACCCACCACTAAAAGCCCCCTCTTTCCTGTCATGGGGAATGAAAATAGGGAGACTCCTTGGCATAGGCAGGTATGTCTGTGCATGGTGTCTAACCGTGCACAGGCAAGGGCTGGTAGACAATAGCT